GGTCAAGTGAAGCAGTGGGAGTGGAGAAGGAACAAAGGAATCTGTAACTGGTTGTGATCAATTAGTTGTAAACACCACTGCACTCGGACCAACCAGAGAAATGAGGTCTTGCCGTGTTGCTCAGGCTAGCCTCAAACTCTGGAGCTCCTGCAGTCCTCTCACCTCAGCTTCCTGAGTAGCTGGTACTACAGGCAATGCCACTGCACCCTGCTGAGTTCTACTTAATATTCAAGGAAGAAGTAATGAAAATCTCATACAAATTATTGCATGGGGTCCAATGGTGGTGGGTTATCAAAACTTACTAACATTAGTGTCACTATAGTTGGTATACAACCCCCCACTGCTAAATTTGACTGGCTAAAAAATAAAAATTAAAAATAAAATTGAAACAAATTATTGTATGCAAATAGAAAAAGAAGTGGCTAGTATAAGCCTTATACCAAAACCCAATAAAAAGGAAAATTCAGACCACATCAATTTGTGAACATGATAAAAATATCCTAAAATAAATTTTTAGCAAATAATGACTAACAATATGAAAAGGATTATACATCATTACCCAGTTGGGTTTATCCCAGGAATGCAGATTTGGTTTACCATTAGAAAAATCAACCAATGCAATTTGCTACATTAAGAGAAAAATGACATAATTATCTCCATAGAGAAAAACTTTCTTAATCTTCTAAAAATAATTTTTAAAAAAATATATAACAAATAACATATTTAATAGTAAAATGTTGAAAGCTTTGTCACTGAGATTGGGGGAAGACACAGATGACTACTATCACTATTTCTATCAACCTTATGCTGGAAGTTCTGACCAGAGTAGTAAGACAAGAAAAAGAAATAAAAGGTATAAAGATTAGGAAGAAAGAAACAAAACTGTCATTATTTGTAGACGATAGAACTGTGTATGTAGAAAATTCAAACGAATCTATAAATAAGTATTAGAATTAATCAGGAGTTTAACAAGGTAACTGGATACAAAATAAACTTACAAAAAATCATTTGCACTTCTTTATATTGGAAGCAAATTTAGAAAATACAAAATTTAAAAAGATGCCATTTACAGTAGCATCAAACTTATCAAGTATCTAAGTATAAATATAACTAGATGGGCAAGATTTTTACACAGAAAACTATAAAATATTATTGAGTTAAATTAAAGAAAATATAAATAAATGCAGAGATATACCATGTTGATGGATGGATAGCTCGATATTGTGACTATATTAATTCTCTCCAAATCAACTTACACATTCAATACAACCCCAATCAGAATCCCAGAAGATCATTTTTAGATGTAGATCTGATAAGCTGATTGTAAAATTTATGTGAAAATGCAAAGGGCCAAGATTAGGCAAGACACATTTGAAGAAGGAGAACAAGGTAGAAGAACTTGCTCTACCAGATGTCGAGAATTACTCTAAAGCTATGGTAATTAAGACAGTATGATAATGGCACAAGGATGAATGAATACATCAATGGAACAGAACAAGGAGCCATATATATACAACCGGTTTATTTATGAGAAAGATACCATTGCAAAGCAGTGGGGGAAAGAATAGTTTTTTAATAAATGATGCTTGTATAAATGGATACACACATGGAAAAAAAGAAGCATGATTCCTTCATCAAAGATAAATTACACACTGCTGAGATGTTAAATGCTTAAAAAATTACACAAATATAAATTATAGGTAGATTAGGGCTCTAAATATGAGACACAAAGCTATATAACACTTTTAGAAGTTAACATAAAAGAATAGCTTTATGATTTTGAGATAGAAAAAAAATTTTAGGCCAGGTGCTGTGCCTTATGTCTACAAACCCAGTGGTTTGGGAGGCCAAGGCAGGATTATCCCTTGAGGCCAGGAGTTTGAGACCAGCTTGAGCAACATAGCAAGACCCTATCTCTACAGTAATTACAAAACTTAGTTGGGCTTGATGGTACATACCTGTAGTCTCAACTACTTGGGAGGTTGAGGCAGGAGCACTGATTGAGCCCAGGAGTTTCAGGTTGCAGTGAGTGATGATGCTGCCACTGTACTCTAGCCAGGCCAACAGAGCAAGAAAAAAGAAAATGAAA